CCCTTTCTTTCTTGCTCTCTGTATCTCTCCGGTCAAATTAAAACAAAAATAATAACACATAAAATAAAAATAAAAATCCTTTTTTAAAAAAAGAAAAAAGAGAACATGTTTGTTCTGCTACCTGAATTTTATTACTCTGCTTACCCAAAATACCAGGATTACTGAAATACTGGGGTGTCTGATGGGTTTCCCACTTATTTTTGAGCTGTTTGAATTTGTGTAAAACTTCAGTGGTTAAAATCCAAGTCCAGAGTTAGCAGGCAGAATGTGTAGTAAGACCTTCAAGTCTAGAACTATTAAGAGATTTATGATGGTGAACTAGATGATAATGTTGATATTGTTAGTAATAAAGGAATATTTCTTAGTTTTGTTTAGTTTTCTTTCTTTTCTTTTTTTTTTTTTTGGTTTGTTTTTAAATATGTAGAGGGTGTGCATATTTACTGGAGAGAGACAGAGGGGAGAGGAGAAAGTCCCTTTCATGGGGCATGGTCAACCTGAAATCCCTTTTTCCATCTCTCCCTCCTTTTAGGATTTTGGCCATGCGTACACAAGCATCCAGTGTGTTTTTCTTTTCCTTTTTTTTTTTTCTTTGCTACAGGGCGTATGTGCTCGCCAGACAGAGACAGAGAGACAGAAAGCAAGAAATCACCCCCCGGGTGGGTGGCCACGCCGCAATCCCTTCTCCTCCATTCTCCCCTTGGGATCTTGGGCAGGCACATACATGTGCCCAGCGTGAGTTTAAGTCACCAGGTCCAGGACTCAAACTGCAGTCGACCACGTGGGAGTTCAGTGACATAGTCATCACGCTAACTGCTGGTCCCTCCAGTGTGTTTTTCAAACCACCAGGTCCAGGACTCAAACTTCACAGTCAGCCATACAGAATTCAAACGCCTTCACCACCAAGCCACTGGAAGGCCCTCTTAATCACTTGTGTGTGTGTGTGTGTGTGTGTTCTTGCTATAGGTCATGTATGCTTGCCAGAGAGAGAGAGAAAGAAAGTGAGAAATCATGCCCCAGGGAGGATGGTCACATTGGAATACTTTCTCCTTCATTCTCCTCTCAGGATTTTGGGTATGTACACACATGCCCAACATGATTTTCAAGTCAACAAGTCTGGGACTCAAACCACACAGTTGGCCAAGTGGGATCTAACACCTTAACCCCCACAACACCTGCTGGCACAATCCCTTTGTGATCTTAATCAGCTTGAAATGAGAATTTCAGTGGAGAATCAGTGTAAATTTGCCTACAGAGCTATTTTTCATAATTGCAAAACAAAAACTATATAAACATATTTTTGTTCAATATTTGGTACAGATGCGAAGGTAAAAGTTTAGATGGGTTACAGCGGGAGCACAAAAGAATAAAATAATTTATTTGAAACTATTTTGTCATCTGTCAAGAGCTCTAAACATATGTGACACAAAGACCAAAGAAAACAGTATCAATTTGTAGCTATCAGGAACACATGCACAAGACATGTAACACTGAACACACGCATGTTATCATTGAGGTTTTTTTTTTTGGAGAGGTTTTTGCTACAGGGCACGTGCGCTCGTTAGAGAGACAGAGACAGAGAGACAGAAAGTGAGAAATCACCCCCCAGAGAGGATGGCCACGCCGCAATCCCTTCTCCTCCATTCTCCTCTCGGGATCTTGGGCACGCACGCACACGCGCCCAGCATGAGTTTAAGCCACCTGGTCCAGGACTTGAACCACAGTCACTACCTGGGAGTTCAACAACATAGCCATTACGCTGACTGCTGGTCTCTATCATTGAGATTTTTGGGAGGAGCTACCAAGAAGTATGTTTAATAGGATCCCATTTTTATTAAAATAAACACTAAATAATATTTTATTTTATTTTTTAAAAGAATCATTTAATTTTATTTGTTGTTATTATTATTATAATTATTGTTATTTTTATTGAATTTGACCAGAGAAAGGGAAAGTGAGAAAGCAAGCCACCAGGTCCAGGACCCAAATCATGGCTGACTATGTAGGAGTCCAACACCCTAACCACTGCGCCACCTGCAGGCCCCTAAATAATATTTTATTAAAATATATACTATCAGGGCCAGCAAGTGGCATGGTGGTTTGGGGCACTGAACTCCCCACATGGCCAACCAAGGTTCAAGCCTAGGACCTGATGGCTTGCTTAATCACTTTCCCTCTCTCTCTCTGTGATCAGATGGAAAATAATAATAATAACAAAAAATAAAGTTACATAAAATAATGCTTTTTAAGAATATATGTACTAGCTATATATAAAGAGAATATAATGGCCAGCAGGTGGTGTGGTGGTTAAGGCACAGTAAGGACTCCCTCCCATATAGCCTACTGCAGTTCAGTTTCCGAACCTAGTGTCTTCTTGCATTCTGACTTTCCCTTTTCTTCTCTCTGTCTCTCTGGTCAAATTAAAAATTAATAATAATAAATTAAATTAAATTAAATCAAATAATTATTTGAAAAATTATATAAAGGGAACCAGTAGTTAGAGTAATGGCTGTGTCGCTGGACTCCCACGTAGTCAACCGCGGTTCGTGTCCCGGACCCGGTGGCTTAAAACTCACGCCGGGCGCGTGTGCGTGCGTGCCCAAGATCCCGAGAGGAGAATGGAGGAGAAGGGATTGCGGCGTGACCATCCCCTCTGGGGGGTGATTTCTTGCTTTCTGTCTCTATGTCTCTCTCTGTCTGTCTGGCGAGCACACACGCCCTATAGTGAAAACCTCCCCCCCCAAAATAATTATATAAAGATGCACTTAAAATATTAGCAAGGGGGTGTACCTGAGTGATGTAATTCTCTACTCTACACATTTTAAGTGTTTATTCAATGAACAAGTCTTATTTTTATAGTTACAAATAACAATGGAACAAAACCATTGAGGTTTTTTTGGACAGGTTTTTGCTATAGGGCATGAACGCTCATCAGAAAGACAGAGAGAGACAGAAAGTGAGAAATCACCCCCCAGGGGGGATGGCCACGCCACAATCCCTTCTCCTCCATTCTCCTCTTGGGATCTTGGGCACTCACGCACACACGCCCGGCGTGAGTTTAAGCCACCAAGTCTGGGACTCGAACCGTGGTCGACTACATGGGAGTCCAGCAACATAACCATTATGCAATTATGCTGGTCCCCATAAAACCACTGAGTTTTAACAACATCACATTACAAGCATACTATATATGTGCTTATAAACACACAGAGGCTAGAGGTTTTTATGTTTTTGTATATTGTCCAATGTTTCGTTGTTACATGAATAGCATTGCAAATTTCTCAGCCTTCAAATGTCAACAGGGGGCCAGCAGATGGTGTGGTGATTAAGGGCACTGGACTCCCACATGGTCAATTGCGGTTCAAGTCCCAAACTTGGCAGCTTGTGTTCTCACTTTCCCTCTCTCTCTCTCTCTCTCTCTCTCTCTCATTCTGTCCTTCTCTGGTCAAATTAATATAAATAAATAAATAAATAAGTGAAATAAAGTTCAATAAAATAATTCTTTTTAAAAAATAAACAGATGACATTTTTTTTCAAAGAATTATTTATTAATTTATTTATCATTACACATATTTTTTTAATTTGCTATCGGGCATGTGAGCTCACCAGAAAAACAGAGAGGGGAAGTGAAAAAAGCAAGCCACCAGGTCTGGAACTCAAACCACAGTCTGCCTTGTGGGAGTGCAGCGCCTTAACCACACTATCTGACGGCCCCAATAGAGGACATTTTAAAGAGATGTTTCCAGAAGTCAGCTCTTCTTCAAGGTGGCAAACCAAGCCCAGGCACCTGCCATGGGAACACTGGGATTTACAATACTGCCGAGCAGAGGTGGCTGTATACATTGAGTAAATACCATTTCAATCACTTAGTTTTGCTGCAAGTATCAGACACTGGACTAAAAGTTGCTTAAATAATAATAAATGTGCTACTTTACATGATATGATATCCAGATGTAGGTGGATTTCAGGACTGATTGGCTCAGTAGCTCCACAATTTCAAGATTTTGGGTCAGTTTTCCTATGATTTTCAGAGCTTTAGTGTCCTGGTAGCTCCTAACATCACTGCCTCACTCAGGAACTACAGGTAGGAGGTAGGGGCATTTCTGTTCACTCATCCAGCACTCTCTTTCAGGCATTCAAATCTTTCCTAGAATCTCCCTAGCAGATGTCTTCTGATATTGTATCCATCACATTGTGATAGTTCAGTGTAAGAAAAACTGCAGGGAAAACACTAGTTTAAAGAGAAGAGATAGCTAGCCCTAAATCAAGAGCTGACCAAAGAGGAGGGGATTATTATTAGTAGTAGCAGTACCCTAGACCAGCAGCATCAGTAGACTTTAATGTAAGCCATATATGCAGTCCAAGTCAGTCTTTGGAAAGCTAAAAGCAAGTCCTTCTTTTCTCCTTCAGGATCAACTGACAACATGGATGAGCGACATTGCTTCACACCAGCATCATTAGAAGTGCCAAGGGTTGCTTCCAGCATTAATCCAGCAAAGGCACCTTGGCTATAGAACTTGGACTTTGAGTTTCTGATTTATGGTTCTGGATGTGACCCTATCTGTGTGGTCTTAATTGAGTCACTTTGCTTATCTGGGCTGCAGTTTCGTCATCTTAAAACAGGTGGTTACTTAATGTTCTTTTGGACTCTAGTACTCTACGATTTTACATAACTGTCCAACTAGGAGACCTTTTCAGCCCTTTATCTTCTATAGTGAACCCAGAGAGCCTGGGGCAGCGACATATGAGAAGTCATTCAGGACACTCTCTCTGATGCCATGGGGCAACATATACCTTTAAAGGGCAGGAAAGAAGGTAAGCCGTGATTGCCTGTCATTCATACAATCCAAAAGTATTTACAGGGTACCTGCTATGTGCCATAGTGACTCAAGATTAAATAAAGAGTAAGATATTAGAAACAGCAGGTGGTGTAATAGTTTCATCGCTGGACTCCAACGTAACCAAGTGCCGTTAGAGTCCTGGACCTGGCTGCTTAAAATTCATACCAGGTGCGGGGCCAGCAGATGGTATGGTGGTTAAGGCGCTGGACTCCCACATGGCTGACCATGGTTTGAGTCCTGCACCTGGCAGCTTGCTTTCTCACTTTCCCTTTCTCTCTCTGGTCAAATTAAAAAATAAATAATAGGGCCGGCAGGTGGCATGGTGGTTAAGGGTGCTGCACTCCCACGTGGCCGACCACGGTTCGAGTCCCAGACCTGGCGGCTTGCTTTCTCATTATCTCTCTCTTTCTCTCTCTCTCTGTCCCTCTCTGGTCAAATTAAAATTAATAAATAAAGATAAATAAAATAATTCTTTAAAATAATAATAATAATAACAAATGAGATGAAATAAGTAAATAATTCTTTAATTTAAAAAAAAAAAAAACCCTCACACCGGGCACATATGCTTTCATGACCAAAATCCTAAGAGGAGAATGAAGGAGAAGGGATTGCAGTGTGGCCATCCACCCTGGGGGTAGGGAGTGATTTCTTGCTTTCTGTCTCTGTCTCTCTCTCTCTCCAGCAAGCACAGACATCCTATGGTAAAAATCTCTCTAAAAAGAAAGAATAAGATATGGTCCCTGCCCTCAGTAAATTTACAATCTGGTGGGACAGGAATACAGATAAGCAGATAAAAAATGACCAGAGTTATAGGGAAGGCGAGGACAGAGAAAGGAGACCATGTGCATGGAAGGAGCTCCTAGTCCAGCTGAGGGAAGCTAGGAAAAGCCTTCCTCCAGGAAGGGATACCCACAACTGAGGCTGGAAGGAGTGGTATGTAGTTGGTTGCCTCTCCTGGTGTTGTGGGAAACTGTCTAGCCTACTGGCCATCTCATCCAACACTTTATCTGCGTTTCATCTCTCCTCTGACATTGTTTTTCTATTCCCTTCTCCAGTGCACTTACCCCAGCTGTCTGTACAGCTTGGGATCTGGTGGACGGACCACCGGGAAACTGCTGCACCAAACTGAAGGGTTCTGCTCTAGATTTTCCCACTACCTCCACCATCCTCATCTCCAAAATCATCACTACCATGAACACCACCTCTATCAATACAAGTGAGCTTGTTTTAACTACTCCCAAATGGTGTATAATGACCAAATTAAAGATGAGCATTTGTTTTTCCAAATTATTCCACCTAGAGCAACCTTAAATAGTTGTTAACTTACTGTTTTTTTAAGAGTTATTTATTTAATTTTATTTATTGTTATTATTTTTGCTATAGAGCACATGCACTCACCAGAGAAAGAGAGAGGGAAAGCGAGAAAGCAAGCCACCAGGTCTGGGACTTAAACCACGGTTAGCCATGTGGGAGTTCAGTACCCCAACCGCTACGCCACCTGCTGGCCTCTCTCTAGTGTTTTTTTAATTGTACTTGAGTTTACAAATATTTTAACTGCCTAGTCTTCATGTTCTTCAGGAACATGCCTATTTTAAGAAGTAAGACATGTGAGAGACAAGAGTTTCATGTTCAGAGAGAAGGTAAACCATAAGAAGTTCATAAAGCCTCTTTCTTTATTCACTTCATTAATTGAAAAGAGTTTTATAGCATGTACAAATCTACCAAATATTAAGCAATCTTAGTTAATTTGGGCCATAAATCAGTAAGAGTAAAGGTAGAAGGGGGCTGGCAGGTGGTGTGATAGCTAAAGTGGGGGATTCTCACATGGTCAAACTGCAGTTCAAGTCCTGGACCTGGGGCTTGCTTTCTCACTTTCTCTTTCTTTATCTCTCCATTTCTGTCTGTTCAAATTAAAAATAATAATAATAACAAATGGAATTAAATAAATACATTTTTAAAAGAATCATTTATTTAATTTTATTCACTCATTTATTTTAATTTGACCAGAGAGAGATACAGAGAGAGAGAGAGAGAGAGGGAAAGTAAGAAAGCAAGCCACTGGGTCCAGGACTCAAACTGTGGTTGGCCACATGGGAGTGCCCAGCCAGCATCTTAACCACCATGCGACCTACTAGTCCCAATAAATAATTCTTTTTTTTTAAAAAAAAGTAAAGGTAGAAGTTAATTCCATCAACAATACTCCTATATATAAATCTACACCTATATAAAAATACATGATACTTATATAATTATAGGATACATATACAAGCCCTATAATTATATGTAAGTATACATACCACGTTTATTATTTTGTAGTATATAACATATGTTTTTACATAAATATAAACTACACATAATACACATGTGATACGTGAATATGATTATTACCAATATCCTTCTCTAGATTGTGAAATTTGAGTTAGGGATTGAGGTAGGTTATAAAAGTGACTACAAATTCCTCTCATCTGGTGTGCACATCCCTTATGATATAACGTTGCCATTTTTCTCTTAAAGAATGAGAATCCATTTCACCATCCCTTGATCCTGATTCTGCATTAGCCATGTGACTTAATTGGCTAATGGGATATTAACAAATGGGATGCAAGCAGAGGCCTGAACAATGCAGAGGCATGCACATTGGGGTTTGCCCTCTCTTGCTGATCCAGGAGACCTGCCACCACTAGTATGGGATCCAACTGGGCTGGCCTGCTGCAAGAGAACAGATCCTGTGGACCAGAGAAGAGCTGGCCTGGAACAGGCTCTCCTAGACCAACCAGCCTGCCAATCACCAAATATATGAGTGAAGCCACCCAGACCATCTAGACCCAGCTGAGCCAGCCCAGACCAGAAAAACTACGATGCCAGCAGACCAGCCTCAGAAGAAATAGTTAAATGGTTGTCATTTTAAGTCACTAAATTTTGGGGGCCAGCGGGTAGTGTGGTGGTTAAGGTGTTGGACTCCCACATGGCTGACTGTGGTTCAAGTCCCAGACTCGGTGACTTGAAACTCTCACCAGGTGCATGTGTGTGCATGCCCAAAATCCCAATAAGAGAAAGGAGGAGAAGGAACTGTGGTGTGTCCTGGGGTGACTTCTCACTTTCTCTCTCTGTCTCTCCAGCGAGTGCATGAGCCCTATGGGAAAAACCTCAAAAGAAAAGTCACTAAATTCTGTAGTGACGGCAAAACCTAACTAAGACAGGGACCATATTATACTGTGTTTTGCTTTTCTTCTTAATCATTACTCATCCCAAAAGCTTTGGGTAAGATGTTTGATGTATTGGAGCCATAGTTGCCACAAACATAAACTTTCATTTTCTTCCAATTCTAAAAGAGTGAATGCCCTTACATTAAGCTTCCTTTTTCAGCTCTGCTTTTTAGAAAGAAGGGAAGAGATGAAGAACAAAGGTAGTAGAAATGAGATAAAATACTAGGAGTGGGAAGGGCGCTGGAGATGAGAATCAAAGGGGGTCGTGGCAAGATGCTGAGTCTAAAAGAGGACAGTACGACTCATGAAGAGCTGACTAACTTCCTGAGAGAAGTTTGTTCTATTAAACCAGAATCTCTATGAAACTCCCTGGCACCTACCCCAGAGGTCCCCATGTGAAATTGCAAACACGCATTCTAAAATTCCCCTTTTGTTCCATTCCTTATTTCCTTTCCATCTTTTTCACTATCCAAAGTACGGTTTTCTATTTTGGTAGTTAATTATTTTTTTCTTTAACCGACAGAAGCTAAACTCAACCGAGCTCAGGTGAGAAGTAGACGGATTAGCCTTTATATCTTAAAAGTCTAGATCATCCTCAGCTTCAGGTAAGAATGAATCCAGTCTCTCCAATGATGGCCTCTGGGAACTCTGTTCATCTCCACCTCTAGGTTCTGCTCTCTTCTGTCTTGACCTACCTGTATCCCTTAATTTCTGACCTATCTTCTGGGTCCTAAATTGGAGTGGTAACAACTACCTATTTTATCTTATTATATTTTATTTTACCAACTACCTATTGCTCTAATCATGTTAAAGGCACCAGGAATCATCCAATTTCCCAAGTCAGTCAGAAACTTGGAAGATATCCCAGACCTCTCCATTAGTCCTCATATCTAATAGATCATAAAGCCAAGTCATTTCCTCTTTTAAAAAATGAATTATTTTCATTATTTTAACTTTATTTTATTTAAATTTGACTAGAGAGGGACAGAGTGAGAGAGAAAGAGAGAGAAAGCAAGCCACCAGGTCTGGGCCAGAACCACAGTCGGCCACATGGGAGTCCAGTGCCCTTAACCACCACGCCACCTACCAGCCCCATTTCTACCCTCTCTATGTCTTTAGAACTCTTTGCCTCTCTTCAGGGCCACTGCGATTATGCTTTTATCATACATTGTTACTCCTGTGTGGAAGAAAATTTCTCCCTAACCAGTCTTTATTTTGCTCCTTGCAAACCATCCTCCATGACTGAAATAATCTATTAAAGTATAAAATCTGGGACCAGCAGATGGCATAATGATTAGGTCGCTGGACTCCCACGTAGTTTTACTGCAGTTCGAGTCCAGGACCCAGCTGGGCACACGTGCATACATGCCCAAAATCCCGAGAAGAGGATGAAGGAGAAGGGATTGTATCATGGCAATCCCCTCTGGGGAGTGATTTCTGGCTTTCTGTCTCTCTGTCTCTTGTCTCTCCAGCGAGTGCATGTGCACTATAGCAAAAATCTCTCTTTAAAAAAAAAAAAGTGTAAAAATCTGTCTAGCATTCCTTGCTTAAAATGCTTGGTTACCTAACTTGTATGACCTCTTCTATAAATTCAGAATATAAGCATGACTGGGGCCAGCAGGTGGTGTGGTGGTTAAAGGCCCTGGAGTCTTGCAAGGCCACCTGCTGGACCTGCAAGTCTCGAGTCCTGGACCTGATGGCTTGCTTTCTCTCTCTCTCTCTCTCTCTCTCTCTGTCTTTCTCTGGTTAAATTAAAAAGTAAAAATAATAGGGACCAGCAGTTGGCATAATGGCTATGTTGCTGGACCCCCATGTTGTTGATCGTGCTTGAGTCCCGGACTTGGTGGCTTAAACTCACGCCGGGCGCGTGTACATGCGTGCCCAAGATGCCAAGGGGAGAATGGAGGAGAAGGGGTTGTGGCGTGGCCATCCCCCCTGGGGGTGATTTCTCACCTCCTGTCTCTCTGTCTCTGTCTTTCTGGTGAGCATTTCACGTCCTACAGCAAAAACCTCTCCAAAAAAAAAAAAGGTAAAAATAATAATAAATAAAGTTGAATAAAATAATTCCTAAAAAGAAAAAAGGAATATAAACGAGATCTGATTTGGTGATTTTCCCAGTTGACCACTTGAACCCCAGCTGTCCTGATGGCAGACAGCCTAGTTATCTTAGGTGGAGTTCCCTAAAAACGGAGCTTGAGCTGGGACAAATGTTAATAATCATTTTAAGAGTCTCATTGCTCTATGCCACTACGCTGTATCTAGTCCAGTTCTACTCCACCCTGCCTGGGGATTGGTATCTTTCCTCTCCAAAGGCCCAGGGCTCCTGGTGCACATTGTTTTACTCGGTGACAAGCTGCACCTACCTAGAGTCTTGTGGTCTTGATTCAGTCATAAACATTCTTTTAGGCCTTGGGTCAAAAACTCAAATGCCGGGATCAGCAGTTAACGTAATGGCTATGTCGTTGAACTCCCATGTAGTCAACCGCAGTTCGAGTCTCGGACCCGGTGGGCTTAAACTCAGGCCGGGTGCGTGTGTGTGCGTGCCCAAGATCCCAAGAAGAGAAAGGAGAAAGGATTGCAGCGTGACCATCCCCCCTGGGCGGTGATTTCTCACTTTCTGTCTCTGTCTGTCTGGCAAGCGCACGCGCCCTATAGTAAAAACCTCTCCCCATCCCCCACCCCTCAAAAAAACTCAAATGTCTCCAAGGGCCAGCAGCCTGACAGACAGGGCTGGCGCCACTCAACAAGGATCAACTGCTACCAAGCAGGCAGTTGACACTCAGGGTTGCCAGATCTCCGCATTTCTTGAGTTTGATGTGAAAGTTTCTGATTTTGAACTGGAGCTGTCAGTTTGTGAATTTGGTTTGATGCCCTAATCCCAGAACAATGGGTGCCCACTTGCCCTCTATTTGCATAACTTTGGGAGTCTCTCCAGGGCTCTGCCACTAGACAAAGATCAGCTGGTAACCGAGTACAAAAGGCTCCAAACATTCAAAATAAAGACTAACCTCCTTTAGTGTGCCTGTGTGCCCTCCCTGACCTGCCTTCTACCCTTCTCCTGGGCCAGTTACCTCTTCCCCCCACCGCCGCATGCTGTTCCACACCTCAGCATCTGTGTTCACAGGCTCCTAATCCTGGAGGCCCCTCCTCTTCCAGCTTTCCGTGTGCACTAGCGCCATTGTACTGGGTTTGACTCCAACATCCACCCCTTCCTCTGGGCGGCCTTTCTTGCCTGTCTTCTGCTTTCCTTTCTACCTGCCCCATTTTTAAAGCAGTTACCCCACTGCCCTATTTCTGTGTTCTTTACACGCCTGTTGCCCCACCTGAATGAATCTCTAGAGGGGAGGCGCCTGGGTTTATTCACCTCTTTATCCCTAGGGCACCTGACACTTAAACACAGAGGGGAGGAAAGAGTACCCAGCAGGAAAAGTAATGACCTTGAACATTGCCTCTCACATGCCAGAAATCCATTAGTGAAGAGCTGGCAATTCTATTTTAAGATATTAAATTGAAATTTGGTGTTTTAAGAGATGGGGGGGAACATCTCTGCATACTTACATCTTTTAAATAACCACATATTTGTGAAATATAACTGGAAAGAGCAAGTTCTTTAATACTTACTCTGCGCTGGACCTAGCCAGGCCTCTAAGAAGTCAAGAATTAGAGAATGGCTAAAGCAACTCACAATAGCTTTCCTCCCGAACCTCAAGCGCCCCCAGGGCCGCCAGGACTAGGAGATGTTTGCTGTCTCAGGAGGGAAGGAGCCAGCTCTTCTGAATGAAACAGCACTTCGCACAGCCGCAGTGGCCTACGGTGGGAGAGCGAGCAGCGACAGTCGAAAGACCCTGTGCATCATCCATTCTTAAATTGACTGACGCTTGTACAGTTGTAAACCGAAACTCCAGAGGCAAACCTTGAGCGGTTACATTTTCTCAAAAAGAATGTTTCCCAGCCCTGTCAATCATTTCCTGCTTTCGGTCCCTCCCCAACACACACACACACACACACACACACACACACACACACACACCTTTTGGCGGACCGCTGCATTGACATTGAGTCTCTCTCCCTACCTGAAGTGGAACACCCCATAAAGCAGCGAGGTTGGCATTTCATTCATAATACATGAACTCAGGGAAGTATTGCACGATAACGGTACAACCGAGCGTCAGCGGCCCGCCCGCCGGCTATTTATACCGCGCAGATTATGCAATCCGGCTCCAGCCATTCATACCGGACTGGGAACCGCGCGCTGGGTGGTGGTGGGGGGGGGTGCTTGTTCCCGGGCTCCGGGTCAGTTTCTAAGTTTGCATCATCTCCTACATTACGAGAGCGCTCGGCTTCCATTCCTGCCAGCAGGTCTGGGGGGAGACAGCTGGGCTGCAAACTCTCTTGGCACACTCGACTGCTTATTTAAACATAATAATAATCTACCAGGGCTCCCGAGGCGCGGCCGAGCAGCGCGCAGGGCTGGGCTCCGGGCAAACCGGAAGGAACTGATAAACCAAGCGCTAATGACACCCCCTCCCTGTCGCGTCGGAAGTGTCCTCGGAGCGCCGGTCATTGAGAAATACCGAAGGGGCAGCGAGCGTGGGGGTGAGGCGAGGACAGGCCAGGGCGCAGCTGCGCGCGCCGCGCGGGGCGGGGAGCCGGGGCGCCGCGGCCGTGGGGGCTTCTGCCTCCAGGCGGCCTCAGGCCTTAGGCGCAGCGGAGTCTTCCTCACGTCGCCCCTTCCCCGACCCGAGGGTAGCGGGAAGAGGACTGATTTATCAGGTCCCACCCGCACCCCACGGCCCACCCAGGCCATTCCAGACCTGGACCTACAAGAGAGGGCGAAGGGCACGGTGGAGAGAGCGGACAGCAGACGAGCCTAAAATGTCCTCCCCGCGCGGACCTGGGCGGGAGCGGGTGGGAGCCGCGGCCGCCTTCTGGTGGGGGCCGCGGCCGCCTTCTGAGTGAAACCGGACCTGCCGGACTACTGAGCATGCCCGTCCCGCGGCCGTGCAGGGTCGCTCCGGCTCCGCGCTCCGGGCTTTCCCGGTGGCCCGCGGGAAGGACCCGCGTTGGGGTGCTCCCCCGCCCGGATTCGAGAGGCGGGTAGGTGGGGGTCCTGCCAGGGGCTCCGCTGGGTTCCCCGGAAACGGTGAGCAAGCACATCGATGTTACTCTCGAAGCAGGACCTTCACTCTGAGTCCACACCACAGCCACCCGCCCGCTGGCTGTGGGAAGACAGATACGGATCCTTAGCTCCTTTAACAGTTTCATTAAATACAGCCCTAAACTCACTATCCCGGTCACCTTCCAGTGGACTTTGCAAGCATCCTGATATTTAGATCAATAAACACATCTAAGTTACTCGCCCAATATCCTTGTTTATTTTCTGGAAACGCAGGAGTCAGTCTTGCCTCAATCACAGAAACTGACAGGGAGGCCCAAGAGGTGACCCGCTAGTAAAAGATCCGCTTGGAGTGATGGACACGCAGAGGAAAAGAGGAAGGCTTTATTATATAGAAAATATAAAGAGCAGGAAGCAGAGGGGAGCATTTCCTCATCCAGATGGCTAGAGTGAGGAAAAGCTTACCAAGAATCTCACATTTGCTTATCACAATACCTTCACTTACAAGCCATTTTATATTTCCAGCAACCTTATGTTGTGTGTTTTTTTTTTTTTAATTACTTATTTAGAAGCCGGAAGTTGGCGGTGGTTAAGGGCGCTGGACTCCAAATGACTGACCTCAGTTGGAGTCCCAGACCTGGTGACTTTCTCTCACTCTCTCCCTCTCTTTCACTCTCTTTGTCTTCGGTCAAATGAAATAAATGAATTAATTAAATAAAAGTTAAATAAAATAATTTTAATTGTTTTATTTTATTTATTCATTCATTTATTTTAATTTGACCAGAGATGGACATAGAGAGTGAGAAAGGAAGCCACCAAGTCCAGGACTTGAACCATGGTTAGCCATGTGGGAACACCCCAGCACCTTAACCACCATGCCACCTGCTGGCCCCTGTTATGGGTTTCGTTCTGACACAACAGACACTGAACCCAAGGCTCAGAGAACTAAGGACCTGCCTGAGATGGCCCAGCCGGAGCCAAGCATCAGGAGATCCCAGTGGGAACTTTGTGCTTCTGGGACCTCAGATTTGTTCTCTTGGATGCCTGATTCACAGACTCCCCCAGGCCAGTCCTTCACTATTAGGGGACACCTGGCCGAGTGAGTGGTGATAACACCAGTTCAGCCTGCTCATAGAGTGTGCCATCCTGCAGAAATTAGTAATCATCTCACCTGCTAACTTGCTGTTGAAGCACTCAGACTGGAGGGTGGAGACAAAGGGGCACCCATTGGATAGATAATTTTGATTTGGATAAATGCCTATATTCCTGGGAGTTCAGAAAAGACTGAGGTTGAGATCTCTCTCAGCACCCTCAGGGAGAAGAGCAACAAAGGCCAAAGGTGAGAATTTGCCTTTTGGGGATTTAGAGAACAATGAGATCTTGTATTTGTTTGGTACTTTCTCATAGACACTCAAGGGCCTCAAAAACTGGGAAAGACAAACTTGGCCTTGTTATCCTTGCTTTTTAAAAGAAACTGAAGAAATGCTAAAAGCCTCACAGAGGGTCTCAGGACTGCCTGGAGGAAACCAACCACTGTCTGGTGCCCTTCTCACCATACAGCATTAGCGCTCAGCATCCGAAGTGGGTGAAACCCAGTCCACATCCTCAGTGAATTTTAATTTGACCAGAGATGGACATAGAGAGTGAGAAAGGAAGCCACCAAGTCCAGGACTTGAACCATGGTTAGCCATGTGGGAACACCCCAGCACCTTAACCACCATGCCACCTGCTGGCCCCTGTTATGGGTTTCGTTCTGACACAACAGACACTGAACCCAAGGCTCAGAGAACTAAGGACCTGCCTGAGATGGCCCAGCCGGAGCCAAGCATCAGGAGATCCCAGTGGGAACTTTGTGCTTCTGGGACCTCAGATTTGTTCTCTTGGATGCCTGATTCACAGACTCCCCCAGGCCAGTCCTTCACTATTAGGGGACACCTGGCCGAGTGAGTGGTGATAACACCAGTTCAGCCTGCTCATAGAGTGTGCCATCCTGCAGAAATTAGTAATCATCTCACCTGCTAACTTGCTGTTGAAGCACTCAGACTGGAGGGTGGAGACAAAGGGGCACCCATTGGATAGATAATTTTGATTTGGATAAATGCCTATATTCCTGGGAGTTCAGAAAAGACTGAGGTTGAGATCTCTCTCAGCACCCTCAGGGAGAAGAGCAACAAAGGCCAAAGGTGAGAATTTGCCTTTTGGGGATTTAGAGAACAATGAGATCTTGTATTTGTTTGGTACTTTCTCATAGACACTCAAGGGCCTCAAAAACTGGGAAAGACAAACTTGGCCTTGTTATCCTTGCTTTTTAAAAGAAACTGAAGAAATGCTAAAAGCCTCACAGAGGGTCTCAGGACTGCCTGGAGGAAACCAACCACTGTCTGGTGCCCTTCTCACCATACAGCATTAGCGCTCAGCATCCGAAGTGGGTGAAACCCAGTCCACATCCTCAGTGATCATGCTTGTGATAAACACAAACCTAGGGTAAAACACCAATTTCTCCCTGGCCAAAGGTGAAACCATCTTTGGATCACTTCTGGTTTTCCATACACATATACTTTACCTTTTGGGTATGCTATATTTGAGGCAAATATTTAACTTTCTCTTCATTTGTTCAGCGGTTGCTATTAGTAAAACAGCCATGCAGGAAGGAGGACCAAATGTGCTTGGAGACCAGGAAGGACAGGAACTCTATCCCTTGCTCCCTAGCAGGACTTCAGAAAGAGCTACACAATAGCTTTATAATTTGTAGGACACTGTGCAGAGTGAAAATGCTGAGCCCCTTGTTCAAAACTTGCAAAGAATTTCAAGATCATAACAGTGGAGCATGAAATCAGATGCAGAGCTCTGTCAGACTGCACAGGTGGCTTGCCCCAGACTGTCCATGGCCAGACAGTGCTGCTTTGGAGAGCACCGGGTCCACCCAGAAAATATCGAGGACGTCCCAGGCCAAGCAGGAAAAATAATTTAAAGCCGTGAGAGAAGTGAGGAGGAACTCCTCATCTGCTTGTGCCAAAGCTCACAGGGCTGACAACCTTTTACCCAATAACTATGACCCTCAAGGGCAAGAGAGACAAGAGCCGACCTCCACCAACATGACAGGAAGTTACTGGATAATCTTTTAAAAATGTATTTAGTGTTACCTTTAATGGGAGAAACTCCATCGTTTCTACTGAAATGCAAACGCTTCTAGGCTTAGATTTACTTTTTATTTTTCTATGCAGGAATGAATTCTTAAAAACGCTCGTTCCTTTATCAAGACGAAAAAGATCACAAGATTCACATAAAACTGAACCACCGCTGCCATTCACAACCTTAGTGAAGCGTAAACCTCCTCCCTTTCGGGTTGGGTTGGGGTGGAGAGGCCAGCCCCTGGCACCTGCACCGCCCCTACCTTCCCACAGCTCGCTGGGGGGAGTTATTCTGAGCCTAAGCCCTCCTCCTGCGGTTTAACTCCATCCCCTCTCCGTAGAGCTCCGAGTCTCCGACCCCGCCCCCACCATCCCCATTTTTAATCCTGGCGTTTGGAAGGAAGGAGGGGGACACAACGGGAGCCAGATGTGTACAAGTCCCCAGCTCCCGCCTCCTTCCTCTGCTCGGGCTTCCTAAAACCCGGAGCCCTGATCGCAGAGGATTAGGAGTCACACAGTCGCGGAGCAAACAACTCCGCTCCGCAGCTCCTCCGGGAGTGGAAGCCAAGAGGGAGGGGGAAAGGAAGCCGGGCATGCTCAGTAGGCGGGACAAAGTTTTTTTTCTTCTCTTTTTTTTTTCGGTCGCAAGTAGGAAGCTTTTTGCACTCCACCACCTCTGGCCGCTGGGAAGACGTCATCGCTTCCGCCCTACTTCCTCCTCCTGTTGGCGGCGGTGAGAATCCAATATGGAGTAAATCGGTGGAGCGGAGAGATGGGGCTCGGACCGGGCGCCCTGCACCGCCTCCCAGGCGCACCTCCCCTGGCCGCAGACCGCTCCCCGGAACCGTGATTGGCCCGGCCCCCTGGGGGCGACCCCGGACCCAGCCCCCACTGCGGCCGGCGCTCTCCTCCTCCCCTGAGCAGTCCCCGCGGCGCCGCGGCGCTTCGCTCCTGCAGCTCGCCGTTGCACTCCTTCCCCCAAACCTCACCCCGCGCCGGAGTCGCCCTGCTTCCCCTTCTGCCTGCGGCGCCCCCTTCATCTGGAGCCGCCCCCCCCTCCCAAATCAGGCGATCTCCGGAGATGTGAAGAAGGGGGGTGAGCGGACAGGAAGATGAAGGGAGCAAAGCTGCTCGCCGCGGGACAGGCGTCTAGGTGAACAGGAAAATGACCGAAGAAACACACCCGGACGAGTAAGTTTGGCCGCAGGCTGGGAGGACGGTGTCTGCGGGGGCAGCGTGGGGCCGGGGCTGAGGACGCTGGTTGGTGAACTTGGCGTGAGGTGCAGCGACTCGCTGACCTGTCCCGGCCGGGGCACGACATTTCCTTCGGTGTCGTTGAAGTGAGGAGGGGGGACGCACTGTTGCGGACTGGCGGGGGGGGCGGCCCGGGGCGGCTGGCCGATGGCAGCTGTGGGGGCCAAGGGCGCGCGGGTGACCTCGGGACGGTCTAGCTCTGGCTCCGGAGACGCACAGCCTCCCCTCCCACATCGAGATCCCAGGCTGCCGGAGCGGAAGACCTGACACCCTCACTCCTGCCTCCCGGGGTCGGGGGGATTTTACGTGGTGACTTGGACCTCCTCCCCGCCGCTCGCCCCGCTGTCCCCTCAGGAGCCCACTGGGGCCCAGGCTCCGCCATTTCGTTTTCTTGAATCGCTCTCATTTGCATACCACATTTTCATTCATAAAAAACACGGCAGAACGAGTAGAGGACTGCAGCGGGCTGCGCTGGGGTCCGGTGCGCCCTGGTCCCCGCGCGGGCCGGCGTGCTGGAGCCGCCCGAGGGGTCCCGCGACGCGTGTGAGTGTGTGTGCACGCGCTCGGGGCTGGCACACGCTCCCCGAAGGGTTGGGGCAGCTCGGGGGGCGGGTCCGGAGCTGGGGGGGGGGG